TATTTATTTAATTTTGCCTGCATTTTTTGAATCCTTAATTACAATTTTTTAAATTAATTGCAACACTATTTTTCTGGCTGCTGTTATATATAACAGAGGGAAAGTATAATGATTGATCAAAAATGACCATTAGATTTTTACATTTTTGAGCTTGGGACCTTGAAATGTCAACAAATGAAATAAATTTAGGATTTTTTTTTCTGTATGTGTGTATGTATGTTTGTGTGTGTGTGTGTACACATGTACTGTACACACAATAAGCATTTCTGTAAGGTTTAATCAAAATATCTTTGAAAGACAAGAGAATCTTCTATCACAATTCTTAAAAAAATTTTTTTATTAAAACTAACTACTTGCCAATACTGGGTCTATTACAATGTTCAATAAATACAATTATTTACAAAGTTTAAAAATTACAACTGATTCAAAACAAGAACCCAGCAAAAGAAAATTCTCAATATTATTTCAACAACTTACTTACAATATAACCATTCAAAACTCCTACTGTTGGCCTGTACAACTAAAAGCATACCTTTTCAGCTGTATAAGAATCTTTTATATACATTAATAATTTATATATGATGTCTTTAAAATTTTACACTATTTCATTTTCAAATAATTTATTAATAATGAATAGATAGTTACTGATTATTAATTAAATAATCATTAATAATTTTGATATTTTTATGGACTGTAATTCCAATCCCATCATGATTATACAATTGAACTAATAAACTAGAAAGTGTTGATCTAACAAAAACATTTTAACAGTATTATGCTATTAATAGAAAATGAGCTTGATTGTCTAGTTCTGATGTTATACAAACAATCCATATTTTTACAACCTAATGAATTCCTGGAAAATTAAGTGATCTGTTATGTTTGCCATGAGCTCAATGGTAGAAATTAGGATTATATTCTTGGAAATATAGTTTAAACTATGTAATATCACCCCAAAGTGACCAACATATGTAATATAACATCAAAACTTAACAACACACAGCTGTTACAATAAACATGTGAACAGCTGTATAGCAAGGATTTGTTGTTATTTATTAATCTAGTTTATTAAAATTGTTTATTATAATTTTTGCAACATAACATTGGGCTATAAATCATTTTATGCAGATAGTATATCGTAATAGTTTAAACAAAATTTTAAATTAAAAAAATGCAAAGAATATTATTGAAATAAAATTTAACTAAAAATGCTATTTAGAAGTTAACTGAAAGTTATCAAGTTAAAAATTTTCAAGTCAGATTATCTTCAAAAGTTACAAATATTTGTAAAAAAAAAAAGAGTCAAATTTACACAAAAATGCTTTGCCAAAATATTCAACACTATGAGAACATATCTTGTTACAAATATTTTTAGTAAAAATGGATTAGTATTCAGATTCATAATTATTATTTGTTATTTGATATTTTAAGTACATAAAACACTATATTTAATTTATATAGTGTTTGCTAAAATATTATGATATTTAAATTGTTATAATTTTTATAATTTTGTTTTGTTAGAGATCAAGAAACAAGTATTAGTTCTACTGTATCAGACTTAGGTAGTCCTAAAGAAGATCTTGGAAGTTTAGACAGTTGGACAGCTAGTGATTTTACGGAGACTACTACTTCACCAAATTATTCACAGACCTCTTTGGAAACAAGTGATAAAGAAAGAAGTGATTATTTTTCATGTGAAACTAGTCAGTCATTAAACAAAAGTTCTATAATAGCTAGTAATTCTAATTCGCTTACTAATGCAAAAATTCAGTCGGATTCTGGTATAGGACCTGAAGAAGTAATAGCAGCATTAGAATCTATGATTAGTGAAATCAATGAAATAGATATTAGTTGTGGAGGTAATTTAAAATAATGAACTAAAGCAAAGCTTGTAAAAGATGTAGTAAGATATTGTTTAAAGTAAAATCTTTATATTTTTATTCATTATACTACAGTTTATTTATTTTTTTCCTTTCTAGGTTCAAAGTCAAGTAATATCAATTCAAATGCATCAGGTACAGACAGTGGAATATCTATTCAATCAAATGATCACAGTTTATCTTCTCTTAATAGAACAAATTATGAAGGTAAAGCTAAAGTTTCTAATCAAATTCATCCAGATAAAGAATTGTTTCCTTATAATTCATCTAGTTCATCCAGTCCAGAACATACACTTTCTTTTAAAACTGAAAAATCAAAAAATAAAAAGAATAAGAGTCATCATGCTGACAAAGAAAAAACTAAAAAGAAACATTTTCATTTAAATTTATCACAAGACAGTGAAGATATTACTTTGAAGTCAACATTGAAAACACCAACTCCAGATATAAGTATTAGTCCAAAAAGTGATAGTTCAGCAACAGAAACTACTTCAAATAAAGATCCGGAATCTTGTCCATCCAGTGCTGCTGATTCCATTCCAAATTCGCCTAATCAGCAAATAAAATCAAATTTTTTGTATGAGGGTACACCCGAATCCTTAGCCCATGCTCACAATCTCACTTTTCCTGAAACTGCTTCAAGTCAGAGTCCTAGTCGTCAGTTAAAACGAGAAAGTCCTTGTGGAATATTTTCAGTTGATCTCAGTGAGTTTAATTTCATATATGTTACAAAGTAGTTGTTATTTTAACAACATTTTATTACAGTTGAAGATTAATTCAGTTAAATATTTGATTACCGATTTATTTTTACTTTATTAAGGTCAAATGAGAAGTTTACGATTATTTTTTAGCAACAAAGAATGTACTTGTGGCCAATTAGTTATAGCTAGTCAAGAAAGTCAATATAAAATATTGCATTTTCATTATGGTGGTTTGGATAGGTTAGCAAATGTATTTGATGATTGGAATTTTCTTTCTAAACCTAAGAATAAGGTGATCTAAATTTATTTATTTATTTTTGAGAATTTAAATTATTAAATTTAAAATGCATAATTTTTCTTTAGACAGATAATTGCCCTTATAGGCAGTTTTCTGTATGTAGACCACAAGTAACTGCTGCAGAATGTCATCCTGAAGAAGGTGTCTATACCACTGTAGACGAACAGATATGGAGAGAATATATGAATGATGATGGCCAAATTGAAGATGATTTTCAGTTGAGGAAGGCAAGTGTAATTTTCATTAAAACTTTTTCATATTGATTGATAATTTATCTTTTTAGCTTGGGTGATCAGATTTTTTTTCTATTTTATTTGTATACTCTTTTATTCTATCTAATCAATTTTTTTCATAATTTTCAACAAATTTTCATATAATGGAAATGTGAATAGTCTCTATGGTATATCAAACTGTGTTATTTATTTATTTACAAAATATTAGAAAGATGTCATTTAGGCAATATGAGCCTGCCCTGAACAAACAACAGATTGGCCTTGAAATAAAAATATAAAAAAATACAATAAAATCTACAACATAATAATGAAAAACTAATGAATTATAATATATGCAGTTTGTTTTCACAGTATTCATTAAATTTACAATAGTCTAGTTCACAGGTTCCCAACCTATGGGTTGCGACCCAGAAGGGGGTCGCAACGGGCTTTCTGTGGGGTTGCCAACTTATACAGTAAACTAAAAAAAAATATTCACTATAATGCAATTTTTATTTTTAATGGTGTCTTGAAGTTTGAATAATTTCATATATTTTTTTTAAATTAAAATAAGTGTAATCTAGGTACGCTATTCTGTCACAGTTGGTTGAAACATGTGTTGAGAGTTTGAGAGGAATAAATTAAATGTTGAGAATGACATGAGATTGGCGTTAACAAAAACTC